GTGGATAAAGGGCACTATGGGAAAGCAAATGACTTTTTTGGAAAGATAAATCGACCCTTAGGAAAATATAAGGGAGATACGATAGTCTTGTGACAATGTCTGTTTGAGTGTGGTACCAACTTCTCCACTTCTTGCTTCTAAGAAGATAAGATTACAGTTGCTCCTGGAGAGAGGATTTATGACAATTGAGTTCTTTGGGGGAAGCCTTGCTTTTAGGCAGACAAGGAATTACAAGGACTCAGATGCCTTCAGCTCAAAATAGTCTTATGCTAAGTGGCATATTTTCGGGTGGCATATCCTGATCCCCTTCATCTACATCCCCTAGTTACTCAGAACAGGCTACATTATTCTATAATAACAAATGACCCCCAAATCTCCGTATCAGAGAATAATGACAGTTTATTTCTTGCTCATGTTCTACTAAAGGCAGTGTTCACCAAGGAAGTTTGTTCATTGTAGACACTCTGGGAACCAGGGCTGATGAAGACTTCATCCTTCCATGTACTTCCATGATCACCACAGAAGTACGAAGGGAAGGGACAAATTGTACACTGGCTCTCGGAGTTTCTTGCCACATATGATATACATGTCACTTCTGCCTACTCCTCAGGAGCTAAAGCAAGTCATATGGCCATGTCTCACCTCCAAGGGTCAGGAAAGTTCAATCTTGCCTTGTGTTTGTAAAACAGATTAGGAAATATTTGATAAACAGCAATAATATCTAGCACGCTCACGCATAACATATTCAGAAAACTTCCAGGGTTTATATTGTGGGACACTACTTAGGTGATGTTATTTGCATCATAAAATGTAAAGTTATGCTGGAGAAGACCCATCTGGGATATAATAATTTGTGAATATTGGTAAAACTCATAGTATCATGAGCATATCAATACCCTTAGATATGATTCAGGCCTTCCTCTACTATTTCCTTTTATACTATTTTACATGGACACTAAATCACTAGCACAACAGAGTAGCTATTCAACAGGTAACCTCTCCTCTCTTCTCTTTTGATAATATAACCTCCAGTTTGTTCAAATTATCAGTGACCATATGCTTTAGGGGAAGTTGTGTCCCTTCCCAGCCATGGGTATGGGGTGGGGGAGTAGGGGATAAATCCTGCTTACACTAAAATAATTATGGTACTCCATTTCCTTAGCCAGTGATTGGTTTAGGAATGCACCTTCTGGGTATGATATCTCTACCTTTACAAAGATTGAGAAGAAAGATCTTTTCCCACTTCTGGATATGGCCATGTACAAATTGTACCTGTTTGGTAGCAGCAATTATGGGATCATGACAAGAGTTAGTTTTATTTTTTATTATTTTTTTTTTTTGAGACAGAGTCTTGCTCTGTTGCCCAGGCTAGAGTGCCGTGGCATCAGGCTAGCTCACAGCAACCTCAAACTCCTGGGCTCAAGCGATCCTCCTGCCTCAGCCTCC